TACATAATCACATTAACTCCTATAGGGGCTATTTTCTCCATTTACAGATGAAGGAAGTACACTTTGTGAGGCAAAGTCATTTGCCTAAGGACACGCAGCCAGAAAGTGGCAGAGCTGGTACTCAAATCCAGTCCATCAGACCCCAGAGCCAACAATGGGCAACCACTATATGCCATATCTGAGGACACACCCAAGGATAACATGTTAATGGCTTGTGGGTATGTCCATTCAAAGCCTCCACAGTATTATATTTACTGATACCATAACGTTACCTGATCTTATAGGAAAATCCACATCTAAGTAAACCCTTGAAGTTCAAACCCATGTTGTTCAAGGGTCAAACGTATAAACATATAGAAAAAGGCTGATGACATTTTTTGTGAAAATTTTCAATACTTTCTAAATTTTCTTCAAGGGCTATTTTAGCTGTATGGTCATTAAAAAGCTACTAAAATCAGTGTAATCATTTAGAATATACAATGCTATCACATTCATTTGAAAATACATATAAAATTTTGTAGCTATACTATAACTAAGGATGACACTTTGGGTGGAATTGTTTTTCAACAGTACATATTACTTTTGTGATTCAAAAAAAGACTAATTTCATGAACATAAAATAGAAAGAAAATTTGGAGTCATTCAATATTTAAATCATGTATCATAGAAGGATGAAAGGTAAACAAGTGAGAAGAATACCACTGATGCATTTATGCTAAACATATCAAATATCATTTCCTTTAAGGTACAATTTCTATTCTCTTCTTTTATGTCATCCTTTACCCATAAAAATATCTCCATTGTAATCAATGGACCTAGAAGGAATTATGCTAAGTGAAATAACTAGAAGGAAAAAAGATAAATATCAGATGGATATGTGGACTACAGCAAAATCAAACAAATGGGCAGGAAAAATACAAAACATGCAAGCTTACCATAGATCTGAGACACACAGCATGGGTGAGGGAAGAAAAGGGGTCAAAACAGGGAAGGGAAGAACACAAGGGGCTATGATGATGGATCATAAGTTCTATAGTGGTGGGAGAACTATAGGGACTATATGTGAGGGGAGAAATCAAATATTGTCCAAAAATCAACAATGCAAGAAAATAAATATTAAAAAAAATTAAAATATATAAAAAATATTTCTGTGGTTAAATTTCAAATAGCTCTGTGAGCTTATGCATGTTTTATACTTTAAATTCCATTCCTCAGGACTGCTGAATTATGTTGCTAAAATGCTCATTCTCCCCTACTATGGCCAGATGTGTTCGCCAAATACTTTTAAATAGGTTTGATTGCAAGTTTGGTACTTTAAATAGGTTTGATTGCAGGTTTGGTAAGCTTCTTTGCTCCACTGTATTTAAAGGTGCTAATGTTAAATATTTTAATTTTTCTTTTTCCTGCTCTTTAGTCATTTTATCTTGAACTTGTTATATAGTTCATGCAACTTTGGATCTCTGCATCTGAGAAGGACTTAACAAAGTCATAATGATTTGTACAAACAAGCACATTCTCACAAATACTAACTGTAGTCCGCTCTCAAGCATCTGTATAGCTAATGCTATATGACAAAGAAAAATTTAGTTGCAAGATTCTACTGAAATTGCTGCAGACATTTTAGGATCACTTAGTAGTTGTATAGGAGTTATAATCTAAAAAATATAATTTATGATAGCAGGAGAGAAAGTACTCTGAAATTCACACAGCTACATTCATCTCCAGGTGTTTTTACATATGACAACATTATAGTAGTTCTTACTTAACACCAATGTTTTTTCTGCTTGTATCTTCCCTAACTCATCTTTTGTGCCTTTATTTTTTGTATCTCCAAATGAAATGCATCAGGAAGAGGGGGAAAATGCCAAGTATTCGAATATAGAAAGCAAATTTCAAAGTGAAGCTCTTTCAAAGCACATTGGTTTTGACCTTAGAAATCTAACCAGCATGTCTGCATATTCTTGGGAACAACAGGTTATTAATCTTTGAAGTTACATATTAGCTTGAAAAGGGAATACTAAAACCAAAACTAAATTTCTTAATCTCACTTCTTGTTCTATAGAACCGTAGATAAGAAAACATTTGGGAAGAAAAAAATGAGTTTTGAAAATTCTTTTCTCTGGTTATCTTGAGAAGAAAAAGGTAACCAACTACAGATGGCTGCAGATTGCATATGGGTATATGACCTTTGCACACATCGGTAAAACAGTACTTAATACAGGATGGTTTCCGTGAATGTTTGCAAGGCCACAGAATCTTATCAGTGACTTATTTGCATATAATGTAAAAAATTAGAGACTCTTTGGAGTCAGACCATATTGAAAATACACCTTGACTACCAAATCATCCTATTCACAGGTCTGCCCACCATATAATAGAAATGGGCAGAGTTTGGGCGAGAGGCTAAACAATCTTCAATCTCAGACTGTAAGAATCTATGGTGACTCATGCCACCCAAGCAGGGCAAAGCATCATCCTCCTTGGCTTCTGCTGGTTGGAACAGAGCAAAACACACAAATATGTCCAGCCTCTGGCACAAATGTGAGAGTTGTTCTCAGAAGGATTATGAAACAATGTCAGAATTGCATGAGTTGCTGATGAAGAGAAAAGAAATTTCTTCTATTGAGGTGGTTCAGTCTTTCAGTTGCAAACTGAAAGTACAATCTGCCCCTTCAGACTCAGAAGCTTTCAATTTTCCCCTGGCTACGCTTGTAACAGGCTTCTTACCAGTTTTTCCAAGCCCTTTATAAATATGGGAATAAGATATTTTATAGCCCAGATATTACAAAAAGGCTGTGCTAGCAGTCACCTAAACCAACAATGCCTGTAATTCAAGATATAATGTTTAAGCTTCCAAGTAACAACACAATTGGTAAGGACGATCCTATAAAAACTGGCCTATGTACTAACCACACTTTAAAAGATTTCCTCTTGTGCAAATAGTTTAATCTCACTTAATATTAATACATCCAACACATCATTTCCTGACCTGGGAAATAATGAAACAATTTGTTTCAAACACAAAATCATTTGATAGATAATTTATCCAGGTATATATTTAAAGGTAAAAATCTATGCTACTGCATAGATTTTCATGTTAGTAAATGTGAAAATGTGTTTTTTCATAAAGAAATTTATTTTTTAATAATTTATTTAGGAAACAGGATACAATCTTAATAAAAGTTTACTTTTTAATTTTTTTCATTTTTTATTTTTAAAGTAATTTATTTATATGCATTTTATATCATTCTTTTTTTTTTAACTTATAGGAGGAATATAGGGGAACCATACAAGGGATCAAGGAAAGAAAATAATAACAATGAAAAACACAATACAACAAAACAAAATAAACAGACAACTCTGAATCAGAGACATTGTGCAGGGAAGGAGGAGAAAGAAGGGTCAATACTTTTTAACTTTAAAAAAAATTTGCCTTTCTCCTTTACAAAAACTTCACTATAAATATGCCTGGTAAAAACAATGTAAATTCTATTTTCATGGGTACTGATAACAAACAATAGTAGAAAATTGAGGAGTAAATCTTAGCTCAGACTCCATGGAGCAGGCTGTAGCCGAAAGAGCCTCCTCTCATACTGATATTTCAAAATTGCATGCAGCACTATTTACAACTACCAGCAGAATGGGGGCAGCCTAAATGTTCATCAATGGACAGCTGCATGAGAAGATGTGGTCTATCCACACTACAGATTATATTTAGCCATAAGAAAGATGACATACAGCCATTTTCAGCAACAGAGGTAATAATGTGGAGTAAAGCAAGTCAGTATGACAAAAACAAATACAGCATATTTATATAGCAGACAATTTGATAATGTAAAATACTTCCCCAAACTAGTAGATATTAATAAACAACATAATGAAAGTTCAGAAGTGGAGGGGAAGAGACAGGGGAAGTAAGTAAGAGTGTAGGGGAAAATAAAATAAAATGGTACAATAGAGTGTGGGAAATAAGCAAAAACTAGGAGCTAAAATTGAAAATACAGAGGAAAATAAAAGGGTCCCTTAATGCTTTCTAAATTTTCAAAGACCTTTCAGAGTCTGGCTACTCTACATGATGGAAATGTCATAATTTCTACAATGAAGATGAAGATATCTATTGAGATTTAAAATGTGAAAAGCAGCTATAGAGGCAAGTCCAGTGCCTTCAGAGGACAGCACTTTCACAAGACCTTCCATGAAGAAGTAGGCCAGTGCTGACAGTTCACATAAAGGAGCATCATTCAACGAAAAGGTAAAGTCTCAAACACAAAGGAAGCTCATCTCATTTGGGGACATTTGGTTTCAGTAGTGTTTCCAGAGTGGACCCAAATAAAAGTAGTTCTTTCTTCCTTTTGTGTATGAACTTGAATGAGCGGTCGATCTAAGCTACATCTTGTCCTCTTTTCTTTTCTTTTTTAGATTTTATTTATTTATTCACCAGAGACAGAGCGGGGAACAGAACAGGCAGACTGACTGAAATATACTGCTGAGGGAAGCACCGGTAGAGACAGGAGATATCTGCTGTGCCACATGGGTAGCTCCCTGGTTGGCTAGGGATCGAACTCACTCTGTAGAGACTGTGGATAGCTTCAGAGTGCTGTGCTTAACCCTTTGTGCCACCAGGGAGGCCCCCTTGTCCTCTTTTCATGGTGCACTCTCATGAGAAGAGAGGTCCTTTGCACTGTATCCATAGTGTCCCCTTTCAAATCTACCATGTCCAACAACAAACCGTTAAGATTCACCAATCCCTCAAAAATAATGAGCTCCAGTTCTCCATGGAACTATATCCAAAGTTTCCTTCCCCAGGAACACTTTAGTTTTCATTTATTTTTATATTCTTGAATCAACTTCTACTTAAACCTAAATTTTCTAGTATTCTAGTAGAAGCCCTTTGCTACTCATTAGTTTATGTTTCAAGGCAGAATTCACAAGTTCAAAGCAAGACAGCATTTATAATTTCAAAGCAAGAAGAAATAAAAATCCAGTTTTCTGGAAATTACCTCATCTGATCCTTTCTTGTCTCCTGGTCTAGAAGGTGATCCACTGGTTTTTTCATTGACATGCTAAAAAATATTTAAAAAAGAAAAAAGAGGTAATGTATGATAGAAGAAGGTGATAAGTGATAATATAATAGCAACTTTAATCTCGGAGAGCTAAATATACAGACTTTAAAAACAAAGTCCTTTAATCTTCTTCCTGAGAATGTTGATAATTCCACACCAGTGTAGGGGGGTTTCAAAAATCAAGGGAATCTACAGACTTATTTGGGACACAGAAAGGTAGTCTGTAATTAATCAGGCACAGATATGATGGTGATCCCAAGGCGGCATCTCGTCTCCTACAAAATGTCCCTGCAATTTAAAGCCCAAATTGCCAGCGTGGGAGACAGCTGGCTACCCAGGGAGATGAGATGTCTAGGACCATGCTTAGCCTCAAGTCATATTTAACCCTCAGTTCAGCATGAACTTTAGAGAGGACAAAAGCCTCACAAGTCAACCTTCATTCTGAGGCCCTTGGCGATTCCCTGGAGTTCTTCCTCCCTGGAGTGCTCACCAAGCAGAAAGATCAACCCTGAAGTAGCAAAAGCAGACCTGTGACTTCAACTTATTATGGTTTTAGGGTTTCATTATGTCCAGAAACAGATTTTCTTTTTTCACTAGGATACACTGGGGAAGAATGTAAGTATTTTTATATAGCCTATTAAAACTTTAAGCCACCTATATGTTCATTTGTTCTGATAACATAAGTCATGCTGTTTAATTTTTTGTGTGAAATGAAAGAAAATTGCATATTCCTGAGAAGGGAGTGCAAAGATTTTCACTTTTTGTTCATTGTAGGATATGCAAGGAAGTGTGGATCCTAGATATAACAAAATAAAAAGGCATCATTGGGATTCAAGCCTGATCACCTTCAGTTAAAACAGAACATAAAATCCCATTATGTTCACAGCCTAGGTCAAAGAAATTAAAAGTAAGAAGAGTGATAATAATAGTAACAATAATAATTTGTCGTTCTTTATATAGCATTTTCACATGCATTCTTATTTGATAACCAAAAAAAGAGGCCCATGTAATTTTACGCATTTCAAAAACTAAGAATAAGAATTACTTGGTGTGCATTTAACAAGGACACATACCTAGTAAATGTGAAAAGTTTACAAAGCAGGTCTCAAACTTAACATCTGTTGTTTGTCACTATAATGTATCAAAAGAAATAAGATAGTATTCCCTAGAATCTAATGAACAGATATGCTAGCTTATAAAAAAGTAAAAAAGAGGGCCCAGGAATGCTAGGCACAGTGCTGCAGCTTTCCTTAACAGTTCTTTGCATGATGAACTAGGGAAAAAATTACTTTCGTGAATGAAAGATTCTTCCCAAAACAAATGCTCATGGATTAGTGAGTGCAATCCACGCATAAGCAGCCAGGCAGCAAGAGTTTAGTGAAAGAAGCCTCTGCTGGGCTTATTTTACCTAGATGTCCTACTCAAGGGTTTGCGTGTCTACAGTTGAAAGCAATCAGTATTGTGTAATGAATGAATCTTGAAGGGAAAAAAGTCATTTAAAATCCACATTTATGTCACAGCTAGGTGGTAATTGTTGCGTTTTAGAATAACTGGTGAGCAAAGAGTCCTGAAGGACAGGCTGGGGAAAGGGTTGGGGGAAGAATCGTTGAACATTTGGAGATAGAATCTGAGAGGGACAGATCTACGATAATAGAGATCTACCCAATCTGTCTCCTTCCAAAACTGTAAGTTTAGAACCACGCTATCACTTCATTTATTACCTTCCATTACATATCTTTTTTCAGATTAGATACAGATAATGATCATATCCACTGTTTTAGTGAGCATACTGCATTTATTTTTCAGGAGGCATTATCTCTCAGGAGTTATTATTATTCCATTTACAAATGAGAAAACTGAACAAGGTAACTGGTTCTCAGGCAAAGTTCCAGGTTCTCCACAGGGTCTCACTCTGCTTCCTGCTAATGCAGCAAATATATGATTTATTACCGCACAGTAAATGCACAGACAGCCTTTTCTCCCTTAAAATATATGCATATAGAATTTTTCCTTTAACATTTTTTAAAGTTGTTGTGAAATTGCCCTTTTCTAGATTGACCAAAATCAGTTGCTTGTATCCAGTGAGCTATTCAAAACTATGTAAGTTCCAAATAATAGTTTGGGAGGCATCCCATAATGAATGCCTTTTTAAATCTGAGTTAAAAGGACAACTTCAACTCTTGAAAATTATATATTCTTACAATTGTATGGGGAATATAATCAAGATGAAAATGCATACATTGTGCAAAATGAAAAATGATGTAAGAAATCTATAAAAAAGAAAAAAGAAAAAAAGAAAAAAATTATATATTCTAAGAGTTGGTATTTTGTGATTTTAAAAAAAATATTTTCTCTGAATAGGAAGCTTTTTATAATGCACAAAAAGTATAATGACATAAATAAAAATCACATAATCAAATGGTGAAACTTTTGGGGAACATTATGAATTATATTTCCCCAGTTAATTTTTTTTAAGATTTATTTCTTTATACAAGAACCGGGTACAGGCCAGATGTGCGGGAGGGTGAGAGAATTCACCAGAGACAGAGTGGTGAACAGAACAGGCAGACTGACGAAATACACTGCTGAGGGAAGCAGCGGGTGAGACAGGAGAGGTCTGCCACACCATGTGGGACCATCGCTGGCCAGCCGGGATCAAACCTGTGCTGCAGAGGCTGCGGACAACTTCACAGTGTGGCGCTCAACCGCCTGCGCCACCAGGGGAGGCCCTCCCCAGTTAATTTTTTTATCTCAGCTTTTTATTATGAATTCTTCTAGCAATCAGAAAAGTTGAAAAAATAAAACAATGGCTGCTGACATTCCCACGCTTAGATTCAACAATGAACATCGCTGCCATGCTTTGCCCTATTTGCACATTATAAGCAGAGAGACCTATTTATTACATTTGTGTCTATACCTGTATTTGAGAATAAATTGCAGGTATCCTGAAACTTTGCTCCTAAGTCCTTCACCAGGAGTCTTTCACCATCTCCTGTTATTGAGGATGCCCCCTCCATATAGCTGCAATACTGTCACCACTCTAAGAGAATTACTAAGAATCACTTAATGTCATTCAATTTCTACTAAATAGCAACCTATACAGTGAACCATTGCTCTGACCATTTCTTGGGACTTATTCAGTATTCGGTAGTCTATTAACACTGTAAAATCAGTTACATTTTTATTGAGAGATTCAAAGTATTTGATTTTTTTTTAATCCATGGAATAATTGAGCACTTTCTATATAAATTGAATTGGGAGAATGAAATATTTGGGAATGATATATTTATAATTTGATCCAACTCAGGAATCCATAGCAAGATTTTCTAAAAGCAAACAGAGAAAACACTGTCTACTACTACTTGTAACTGATGGAGCAGGCAGGAGAATAGAAGGAGAAGTGAACCAACAAACTGCTAAATCCACAGAGCTCTTTGTTTTCCCAAGGCAAGAAAACAAGTCCAGTGTTGGGTCTTTCCTCTCTGATCTCTTTACCCCAGAGCAATTCCAGGGGCAAACACTGTCACTCAGTTTTATGGATAAAGAAATGAAGGTCCTGACAGGTGAGCTTCTTCTTTGTGGCACCACATATTAGGACATCTGACTAGGTGTCTAGTCAGAGACAGGATCCAATTAAAAGTTATGTGAGATGCTGTGATTCATATCCAGAAACACTCAGGGCTTCTCAAGTTTCTCAAGAAAGGCTCAACCCAAGATTCTAAAACAAAATCAACAACAAAGGAAACCCAAACCCAAAAGAACCACAAGGAAACCTTCTTGTTTCAAAATTTCTTTTTAAATAAAATTAATCAGGTATATAATGCTTATAAATTCTATCCTACAATAGCAGCTGGAGAGGAAGCCAAAGAAAGGAAAAGCAGGATGCCAGGCATAGGCAGTAAAAATTTCACTGGGAACATAAGGTTACCAAAGTCAGGAAAACAACACGGAGCCAGGAGCTAAGATGGACAGAGGCAGTATGTGCCTCGGGAGTTCAGAGCAGGGAAAAAAATCAGATAAAGAACATTCCATATCTTTCCTCAAAAAGGAATAATTTTCCAAACTGTTTTTACCCTCTGGCATCACCACACATTCGGTTGTCCACTGTCCACATTCTAGGAGGAAGCATCTATCTGCCTAAAATCTTCAGCCCCTGAAAACTCATAAACCTGTCAGGAAATCAGCAGGCTAGGAAGTCTGGCTTGGAGTCTGCACTGCACAGCTAAGGACCTAGTGCTGCCAAGACTTGGCATGGGAGCAATCAGGCACCTTCTTGTTGTTACCCAGAGCCACTCTGACACAACATGAGATAAGAAGATAATTGTTGGATAAAATCAAAGAAATGTCTGCACTTATCAAAGAAGAAAGGCAGGAAAAAACCCAAAGCTTCTAGAAGTCCAAATCAAGCTGTGAAAGAGTACCAAATGCTGATGTGCCTCTAAAACACCTTTGCTTCATAAAGCAAACAAAGAAATGGAAAAAAAAAAAAAAGTTTTTAAAAGAATGGAGTTTCCTAAAGGGGTGTGTGAAAATTTTCTAAAACTTAATTGAGATGGTGCTTTCGGGTCTCCCCGGTGGCGCAGTGGTTGAGCACTGGGCTGTGAAGCTGCTCGCAGCCTCTGCAGCGCCGGTTCAATCCCCAGCTGCTCCCCGGCCACCTGAGGAGGGTCCCGCATGGCGCACAGACCTCTCCTGCCGTCCGCTGCTCCCCTCAGCAGTGTGCTTGGGTCCTTCTGCCTGCTCTGCTCCCCACTCTGGCTCTGGTGAATTCTCTCACCCTCCCGTGCTTCTGACTGTACCCAGTGCTTGTATAAATAAATAAATCTTTAAAAAAAAAGAGAGAGATGGTGCTTTCACCACCCTGTGAACGTGAGATTGGGTTCTTGAGGGCTTGGTAAGGCCACAGACTGATGAGTCAATTGTGTAGTGTGCGAACTACATTCAAATAAAGTTGTTTTAAAATATCAGTAAAAACAAAATTCAAAGTTTCCAACTTCAAC